ACAGCTAGAAATAGCTTCACTGTCCACTCACCGCACCTCTTTTAAGAACACAAAACTAAATCTATAAGTATAAAAGAGGATGTTTGTATATATATATATATTTGTTTGGCAGTGATAAACTCAGACGCCGCTGAACCAATTGCCACGAAACTTGGTACATACGTTTAGAATTTCATGGAATAGGTTTATACACCATCAATTTCGTGATCCGTCCAATCGGCTCCGCCCCAGTGGCTCTAGAGTTTCCCATGTTAAACTTATGAGAAATGGAATTAATGAATCTTAACAGCTGTTTCAATTAAACAAGTTGGTTTTGTTCTATGATGTTCAATAGCATTAAAGTTACAAGGATTACAAACAGGGTGCATCACTATTATTTCTTTTACATTTATGACAACAGCTAATTTGCAACCAAAAGGTGAGTGAGCATAGCGAACGAACTTCAACCTGGAGGCGAGTTAGCGTAGTGAACGAGCTAACCTGAAGGCAAGTGAGCGTAGCGAACGAGCTAACCTGAAGGCAAGTGAGCGCAGCGAACGAGCTCCAACCTAAAGGTGAGTGAGCGTAGCAAACGAACTTCAACCAGGACGTGATTGAGGCATGCAAGTGAGCGCAGCGAACGAGCTCCAACCTAAAGGTAAGTGAGCGTAGCGAACGAGCTCCAACCTAAAGGTGAGCGCAGCGAACGAACTTCAACCAGGACGTGATTGAGCCATGCGAACGAGATCATCTTGAAAATACTGTCATTAATAACCATGAATGAAAATAACCATTAATAATTAAGCTAGCATAACCTAGCATTAATATAAGAGCAATAATAAAGAATCGGTTATCCTTTGTACTATATGTGTTTCATTAGTTGTTGTACGTATTTTAATTTAGTTATAAGCACTTTATATACAATAAGACAATTAAACGTTACGGTAATTAAATTATAAATAGTCAAAGGCAAGACAACGTCTGCCGGGTTCAGCTGGTCTATATAAATAAATACCCCCGCCGCAGCAAACCTGCAGACTAAGCGAATTTCCATTTGACTGATTGGATTTACACTGAAATGTCTACTTAAAAATATAACATTATTATTCTTGATTTAAATAGAATTAGTTTAACAAGTACTTAGGTTTGCTGCATCAGGGAGGGTAAAACTTTTTTTTTGTAAAATGTGAATAGGTAGTGAGAAATAAAAACATTTTCCAAATTTGATCAAAATATGTTCACAAACAAGCAAACTACAACAGTTTACTTATTCTCCATAAGAATAACATGGGAATTTTAAATTTAAAATTTTTTGGAATTTTCTCCGTAACTATTAGGCGCATAATAACACTTCAATATACTAAATTATTTGTTTTTTTAAGCTCTACAAAATGGTTTGGAAAGAAATTGCTAAATTTTATGTTTTTTGGGTCAAAAATAGGAAAAACCTATTTTTACCCCATAAAACCCCCCGTAAACCCCCGTTCCCATGGTCCGATCATGCTGGATCGCGAACTCGTTCGAATAAACGTACGTTTACACGTTTGTACCAAATTTCATCCAAATCGGATAATTTTTGCTCGAGTTATCGTGCTGACGGACACATATATATATATATATATATATATAAATATATAAATATATATATATATATATATATGAATTTGAACGGATGGTGTTTTTGGCCTCTAGGGACCTCAAAACGAAAAAAAAAATCGGTCCCGCGTCCAGGTCTTACCATGAGTACTACGGTAATAGCTTATTCCCTATATGGGAAATTCGCTAAAATTACAGTTTTGTCTTTACATTGCTAAGAATCATGCAGTTTTTGGTCATTTTTATGTTTCATAGCCTAAGAAAGCCGAAACGAGTCTTATCTCAATTTCTGCCTGTATGTCTGTTTGTCTGTTTGTTTGTCCATTCTGTGACTCCGTCTGTAACGCCAAAATGTCATTTTACGCGGCCTACTCCTAGAAAACTAGAGTACCGATCAAGGTTCTAATAATTTTTCTGTATTTACTGGATTGGTGAGAGTGTCTTTGGCTATAAAAACAAAAACATGTCCTCGCTTCTTTGAAAACAAAATAACAAACCACCAAAAACCCAATTTTGTTTGATTTTTGTCAAATTTTCTCCCAATGTTTACTATTACATTTGATGAAATATTGATCAGCTGTTTGGATTAGTTCTCACTTCTAGTTGTCACTGATATGTTTACATTCAAATTTGTTTACAAATACCGCAACCATTTCCGATCAAGTTTTGTCAGCACATCCAAACCAAGAGAGATTAAAAACGTTGTGCCTTACTTAACCGCTTTAATTAATCGCAAGTGCAACGATTGTTCTTGAGTTTTGATAACCGGGGAAAATACTGTGAATCAGTGTTGTATTAGTGCAAGCAAACTTACATTAACAGAATAAATTACGTTCATCAACCACCTACACAGACTTAACAAGCAATAAACACCAGGAATCCAATTCTGTTTTCACTAAAGATATCGCAAAAGAAATTACAAACCAAGACGCAACTTCAACTAATCTTAAATCAAACATGCCGAGGCAAAGGCTTTAAATTTTAGCTGATAGTCATGGAAAAAATTTAAGTTCATTAATAGAACCAATAACAAAAATGACAATGTTTGTTCATATGTAAGGCCTGGGCCAAAGTTTGATAGAGTCACAGAAGAAATAAAAAGTTTTAGCAAAGATTTGGGTAAAGAGGATTACCTTTTAGTACTAGCAGGAACTATCAAAATAGAATCCACCGGGATAAAACGACTCACTGAAGATGTGAAAAAACTTATTAACAAAGAGCACACTAATCTAATTATTGCGGCCAAACCAATGAGACATGACAATCTTAACCTAGACTATAAACGTGTAAACCTACATTTATTTGGACGAGTTCGTGAACCAGCATGATCGGACAAATAAGCTCAAAAAAACAAATAATTTAGTATATTGAAGCTTTGTTGTATGTTTAACGGTTACAGGAAAAATCCCAAAAAAGTGTAGATTTAAAATTACCTAGCCTACCATGTTATTCTCATGGAGAATAAATAAACTGTTGTAGCTTGCTTGCCTATGGACATATTTTAATGACATTTTTTGTTTACTTCATACTAAGCTATCAATATTTCAATAAAAAAACCCCTATTTCCTTCTCTGTAGCAGCAAACCTAAGTACTCATCAAAATTAGCGATATTTAAATAGGAAATAAATCTGAAAATTTTAAGGGAATAATTTAGTGGAATTCCAGCCAGGTAGATGGAAACTCGCTTAGTCCAGGTTTGCTGCGGCGGGGGTATTTTAACATTAGTAGCTCCTAAGTAGTAAGTAGGTGCATGCATACTACATGCATAATATTTGCTGCTACAGGGAAGAAAATCAAACCTAAGTACTCATCAAAATTAACAATATTTAAATAGGAAATAAATCTGAAAGTTTTAAGGAAATAATTTAGTGGAATTCCAGCCAGGTAGATGGACATTCGCTTAGTTTGCAGGTTTTCTGCGGCGGGGTATTTTAGCATTAGTAGCACCTAAGTAGTACGTAGCATTGGTTACTCCTTATTCATTAAATAGCATACTATTATTAAGCTTGTACAATGGATCTCAAGCCACAACAAAAACAAGTTAAATGAATCTTAACTTTAAATGTTCAACACTCATCCAAAAATTATCATTAGTCCTGGATTGATTGATGAGTCAAAGGCTCAAATTATATTAGAAAGGGTTAGGTACACACTTTATTCTAATTCTAATGCATGTAAAAAAAGGTGTATCAGTGCATTCAAAATCAGGGACCTTTTCCATTAAATGACTACAACTATAGCCTAAATTTTGATTTTAACAATACACGATCTCTTATTATAACTTATATATTAACCCTGTTAACACTATAAGCCTAATACATGTTTTCTGTTATACAACCACTTAGGTACCTAGGCTATAGTTGTTCTGACCGAACAAAAATGTTCTAAAAATATAGCACAAGGGTGTTTGTAGGCCTACATAACATTTTTTTTACAACCAAAGATTGTGTTTTACTAAAGGTTAAACAGCTTTCTGCCAAAAAGTTCAATGAAGTTTCTGTTTTATGAAACAAAAGTTGTATGTAACATGTTTGACATGGTGGCTTTACACGTAGGCTTAAGTACTAAGACATTCCATCCCCATGTTAAAGTTGTAGCCAGGTTTTTAATCAAAAATTTGTCTTATTTGATGTGAGCCACCTACAGATTTCGCTGATCTAAATTACTGATTTCTGCCGATTACACGATGGTTTTCACTAAGTTAAACTGATGGAATGACTTATTATGAGCTAAAGCAACTGTTGTGACCCAGCAACTATGTCAGTAACAAAAAATAAGGTACAAAAATAGAGTTTTAGATACTAGCGCAATCTGTGACTGGCTCACACAACTACGTTCTTTTTTAGTAAAAAATTGGCTACAGCTGATCCATATAGATGGGATGTCTTCGTACTACCCAGGAATTGTTTTAGAGAGTGATTTTTAAAATTATTTTGTCTGGATTTGATAGGTAAATCTGGCTTATCAAACTGTACTGATGAGAGGCACGCCTGGTGGTCAAACAAGTAGTAGTGCTCTGCTACAAGTAAATTAAAAAAATATTTTTTGGCTGTTGCTAGTGAATGCAAAACTAAGGAACGGGCCATGCAAGTCTTGCAACAAATGGGTTTATTGCAAAATGGTGTGTTTTTTCCCGTTAAATTTCATTGAATATAACATATAACTTACAGGTTGTGTTTATGTTTAAACCTTTCAACTTGAGTTTAGTAAAACATTGTTTTAGGTTAAGATTATGTCTTGGTTCTAGCCTGACCTAACTCTAAACCGGATTGATTTCAATCAAACGGAAAAGTTCCAAAACAAGTTTAAAGGTGAAAGTTGTCAGTAGGCCTATATTGTACAGCAACAATTGCACAGAGTTTTAAATCACTCAAAAACAACCAACCAACTCAGAAACTACCAAATCTGTAAACTATCTTCTTACCTGGGTTTTTCTTATTGGTGATCTGTCTGTTTTTTTAATAAATGTTGGCAAGATTGGAAGAAACTCAGCTAAATCAGTCCCTTGGATTCTTTGTTTGGAAGAGTCAAATTTTTTTCTTTTCTTCATCAACGTTTTCTCGCACACTTTAGAATGTTTTGAGAGTGCCTCAGGACGGAAAGTTCGGTTGCAGGAACCACAAGGTAGTAAAATGGACGGAGTATCTATGTTATCTGTGGAAAGAAGTGTAATTATTGTATATTAAATTGTGGCCAAGATGTCATTTGTCATGGCTGGCAAACTTATTCAAATCCAAAATCTCTTTATTCATGCGCAGTACAAGTTATTATACAATGAATAGCGTGAAATAAATATAAAGATACATTATGCCATACTTATCCATAGAGAATTATCATTGTTACAAAACTAATACTAAGCTTAAGAAGAATAAACAAAACAAAAGTAAATCATCATTTTAAATTATAATTTATGTTATATCTCCTAAATTCCAAAATGCATCCAAAGAATACAAAAACAATGAAAGGAGATAATTCTTCAGTTTGTTTTTTAACATCAAAACTAAGTTACTTTATTTTTATTTTAGGTAGGCTAAATTAATTAAGAATTTTATCCAAATGAAACTACATTTCTTCTAAAAACTTTAATTTATGTTGTTCAGCCTGCCTAGTATACCTTAATTGAATATATTTGTACTATCAGTTCATTTGAACCAAAATTTAGTTTTTAATTCAAGACGTCTTCAGGGGATCTTTTAATAGCTTTATAAATTTTAAGACTCTCTAAGATGTTCATGAGGGGGCTTTTACTGCATTTCAAATATTTTATTTTATAGAATCAAAAGCATTGACATCAGAGCTACTACAAGTCTTTATCAGCTGACGTATCCCCTCCCCCAAGACCAATGTCACCAACGGGGCATTGGATAGTTCTGTCGTGTCCGCCGTGAAATCTGCGTCGGTTTGTCCCGTGTTCAATGTGGCCGGCCTATAGTCTTAAATGTTTTGTAATTTGTGTTTTTTTAATTGTAAACTTTATGTGTCGACCTGTATTTATATATTGATGAAGACTTCTGTCGGACTTTTGACAAAATTCAACATGATGTTTTAAAGGATTTGATTATGGGTCTTTGTACCCAAAACTAGTCATCCATAGACTAAGATAAGACTGAACACAGACCAAGGTACGTAACCTATTATATATTCGAATATCAGGACTCTTGGTGGCAGAGATGTTTAAATTTGTATGTTCAACAAAAGGTAAAGTATCGCTTTGATAGTGTAATTCAAAATTTTGATTCTCTCTATTTTGGATTATCCCATGCCAGATTTTCATCCATGATTAAACCTAAAAATGTTGAGTGGTCTAATTGGGTCAATACATGATTATCAACAAATATTGTAGGCTTTATTTTGTTCCTAGTTTGTTTTGTTGAAAATGATACAAAATTGGATTTTTCTGAATTTAGAAGGAGATTCTTGCTATCTAAAAAGTCTTTAATTAATGATAAGCCAATATGGGATGATATTTCAATATTATTTTCAGTGTCAGCAGAGACAACCACATTTGTGTCATTTGCATAAAGACATATTTTTGTATCTCTGCCCCAAGTGACTTCTGGTAGACCCTTCAGGTAACAAAGGAACATTAAGGGACCTAAAATCGATTCCTGAGGGACTCCATATTGCACTGTTAATGGGCGAGAGGTACAAGTTTCTTTATACTTAAACTTTAAAGTTTCACGATAGTAATTAATTTCCACAAATTGTTTTCTGCCGGTAAGATATGATTTTAAAACCATGCTAATTCAGTGTTTTTTACTCCGAGTGAGCAGAGCATATCTAATAGTTTAGAATGCTCTACACTATCAAAAGCTCTTGTCAGATCTAGAAAAATTCCAATTACCTTCTCCCCCCTGTCAATAGAGTCAATGATCGACTCTACAAACTCGATACCAGCTGTTATAGTAGACTTTTTAGATCTGAAACCATGTTGTTGTTTGTCAAGAAGATTATTTGTTTCCAGATAATTTGAAAACTGAATAAACACAACTTGTTCTAAGATTTTAGAGAATACCGGAAGCAATGATATTGGTCTATAGCATCTAATGTCTTCTGGATCTCCCTTTTTGAGAACAGGAATAACTCTGGCTGTTTTAAGACTCTCAGGGAATACTCCTGATATGAGGGAATGGTTGATTACATGAGTTAGAGGACCAACAATGTAGGGCAGGGCAGCCTTAATGATTGTAATGGGAATTTCATCCTTACCCGTGGATAATTTGTTATCAAAGGATAATATAATTTTTTTAATACACTGTTTCCTTACGGTTTTAAAACTGAAGGTGATATCTGGATGTTCATTGCCAATATTATAGTTTGTAGAATTTGTTGCAGTGTTAGGAGTTACCAATTCTTTTACTGCACGGACAAAAAAGTCATTAAAAGTTTCACATATGACTTCTGGATCTGTCAAGTAGATTCCATTGTGTAATAATTTAATATTTGCATTTGAATGGGACCTAGAAGTTTTACCAACTTCTGATCTAATCAAGTTCCAAGTGGTTTTGCTTTTATTTTTAGATTTAAGGATTTTATTATCAAAATACTGTCTTTTGCTGTTTATTACATTATTTTTAAGTTCTTTTTTCTCAGACTTTATCAACATTTTTAGATTTTCATCTTTGTTTAATCTAAACTGAGACTCTAAGTTAATTATTTCTGCCTGTTTATTTTTATTTCCTCACTGATTTGGTCCATGTTCCCTTTCAGTTGTATACAATTTTGGGAAGTTTATGTCAAATTGGTGTTTGAAATTATTAAAAAATGTATTATATTTAAGATCGACAGTGGATTGAAAAACCTGAAACCAGGACTCGGAACCCAAACCCCTACAGAATGATTCTGTGTTACAAAGATTGAACTTGCGCACTTGTTTCCTAGTTAACCTATTTTTTTTTAATTTACATTGTTCAACTCTAACAGCTGGCCATCATGATCAGAGATATGTGTGATTAGACCAGTTACTCTGTGATCCATCCAGGCCAGGCGATACTTGATTTATGAACTCTGAGACAGCGATTGTTGTGTTTTTTCCAGATCTAGATCCAAATTGGCATTTGCACAGCACTCAATCGCTAGGACCTCTGATTGAAATACTGTTGCTGTGCTTCCCAGGGATGAGGAAATGTTGGTTTTGTTGCCATACACCCCCAACCCCGATCTCTCATCCTTTCGGCTTCCATCTGTGTAGTACACCAAGCATGCTCTGTCCCTCTTAAAGTTGCACTATTGCCAGTTATATCTTTCTCCTACTCGGACAACTTGGTAAGGAATCTTGAAGTCATATTCCTTTGTGATGAGGTCTGGCATTATTTAATTCCATGTCCTTACTTGGGAAGTCCCTTAGAATGGACAGGTGACCAGTCAGCCTCTGAAGATTCAACTCACCTCTGCTTCCCATTTTGAGGGCAGCAGTGGCTGAACGTTTCTTAACTTCCAGCCCTAGTGGAAGCATGTGGAGTATTGCCTCCATTGTAGCTATGGGACAGGATTTCATCGTCCCGCAGATCCCCGTACACGCAAGCCTTTGCAGCTGCTGCAGTTTCCTGACAGCTACTGTCTGCTCTGCCTTTAGCCACCACACTAAAGCTGCGTATTGGTTTGACTATGGCCTCATAGGTCCAACGTATCAGTCTGGGACTTAGTCCCCATTTCTTGCCAAAGGTTCTTCTGCATGCTCCAAAACCTCCTGTGCCTTTTGCAAGAACATAAAGTGCTCCAGGTAAGTTTCTGGTCCAGGTAAACTTCAAGGTATTTTGTTTCCTTCACTAACTTCACTCTTTTCCCCTGAATTTTGGGGGGAGTTAGATTTGCTTTCCTTCTTGTAAAGGAGATTAGCCTAGCTCCGTTTTGTCCGGGTAAATAGTGAGGCCCTCTTTTGAGCACCATCCCACGATGAAGCTCACAGCTGTCTGGGTGAGGTTTTCCACAGTGTTGTCTGCAAAGGCTTGGAGGTCCATGTCTCTCCAGTCTGCCTCTCTCAAAAGATCATTCACCACTAAAGCCCACAACAATGGTGAGATGACTCCTCCTTGGGGGCAACCTTGGCGTGTTACGATTGCTGAAGAGTAGCTGCCTAAATCAGCTGTCACTTCCCTACTGTTGAATAGAGCCATAATCCAAGCTGCTATGTCGGGGGGATGCCCCTGCTTCTGACTGCTGCATCTATGGAGTTATAGCTCACATTATCAAAGGCACCCTGTGTGTCCATGGAAACCTGCTAGGAATTCCTGGTGCCCTTGGGTATCTTCAACCTTTGCCACTAGGGTGCTAAGGGCCGTTGTTGTTGATTTGCCCTTCACAAACGCATGTTGACTCGCACTAAGGGGACTAATTTCTAAGTAAATGTCCCTTATGTGGCGGTTGATTACTTTTTCCATAGTCTTTAACATGAAAGAGGACAGGCATATAGGCCTGTAGGACTTTGGCTGGGCTGGGTCTCTACCTTTTTTCAGGAGAAATACCGCCCTTGATTCCCTCCAACAAAATCTTGCCATCCTAGGCAAGAACCTGAGGAGGGGAAAAATAGAAATCCTCTCAGATAGCCAAGCTGCATTAAAGGCGCTGGGGTCATGTGTGACAGAGGCACTTAAACAGTAAAGGGGTGCAAAAACACCCTCAAAAAGCTAGCTAAGTGGAACCTAGTCAAACTAGCTTAGGTCCCTGGACACTTGGCCTTTTTGTAGCAAACGTAGGCTCGGAACCAACTTTCTTAAGCAGGATAGGTCAATCAGTAATCGATCTTACCCTGTGTTCAGCGGGTTCAACAGGATTATTGACTGGTCACTGGTCAGTGTCTCTTGAGCCATCCCTGTCTGATCATAGGCATATTGTCTTCAGGTTGGGGAATTTTTCCATATAACGCAGTACGAAAGGCTAAAAGGCTTTCATGGACATGGAATAATTTTTGTGGTAATTTAGAAGGTATTAAAGACACTTCTAGAATACATAAGGTTCTTGTTAGAGACAGGAATGTTACTCTTGGTGCCGTTGAAGGACTGGGTGGTGCAACGGCTTTTGAACCTACTGAAATAGGCCTACTTAAGGTTATGGCAAAAACTCATTTCCCTGGTTGTATTGTTTTTGAAGTGCAGCAGGAGGAGGTGAGTTCTGAGCGGCCAAATCTGGGCGGTCATACCACCCATTCTATGTGGAGCACTGCTTGCCGCATAGTCACCTTCAGCAAGGTAAGATGGGCTAATATATTACGACCCTTCAAATCGCCGGGTCCTGATGAGGTAAGACCTGTTTGCTTACAGGAAGGTATAGAAACCCACTCTGTAAACTTTTCAGAGCAAGCTTAGCCTTGTAGGACACATTCCCTCAGGGTGGTGTAATTCTCACATTGCATTTATTCCAAAACCAAGGGGAGGGGTTGGTTACACTGATATAAGGGAGTATTATAGGGGAGTAGTTACACTGATCCTAAGTCATTTAGACCCATTTTTCTATCTTCTTTCTTTCTCAAGATCCTAGAAAAATTGATCTTAAGATATATGATGGATACAGCTCTCAGGACAAATCCTATTCATAACAATCAGCATGCGTACGTCGCAGGAAGATCATGTGAGACTGCGCTGCACCAACTTGTAAGCAAGATTGAGAAGGCTCTAGAGAGAAGTGAGAGGTCCTGGGTGCCTTTCTCGATATTCAGGGTGCTTTTGATAACACTGGCACCCCAGCAATTCTTAATGCGGTGAGAGCTAGAGGATTTTACGGTATCGTATGTACGTGGACTGAATCCTTGCTTCACAGTAGGAAGGTCGGGCTCTCACTCCATAATGACACGATCTAGGCAAGAATACCTCGAGGTTGCCCCCAGGGTGGGGTTCTCTCTCCCCTCCTTTGGAATTTGGTAGCAGACGACCTTATAAGGACCCTCAATGAAAGCGGGGTTTTCGCCTTAGGTTACGCTGATGATGTTGCAATCCTTGTGGTTGGAAAGTTCCAAGGAACCATAACTGGTCTTATGAATTCAAATTCAAATTATCTTTATTTATAGTAGGCCTATGTACAAAACGTACAATAGTGTCAAGCTTATTATTACTATGTAAAAATACTTTAAAACCTAAACAAAAAATACAGAAAATAAAATTATAGCTATAATATACATTCATAAAAAGTTCATCTAGCCTATTGAGTAGATGGGTTTTTCTATCAAAAATTCTTTAAGTTTTTGTCTAAAGGTTTTATTATCCTTAATATCTTTTATTTAATTTGGTATCTTTAAAAACTTTACACCGGCATATGAGGGCTTATTTTTATACATTTATAAGTTGTGTTTCGGTAGAACTATATTATTTTTGTTTCTAGTGTTGTATTGATGGGTTTCACAATGTGTTTTAAATTTTTCCTGGTTATTTTTTACATGTACGATACATTCCAGTGTACAAACTAAAGACAGTTAATAGTTTCAAATAGACAAAATGTTGATTTACAGACTCATTATAATCTAGATTTAACATTATTCTTATTGCCTTTTTCTGTAAAACAAGTATCTTATCTAAATTTTTCTGGGAAGTGCCTCCATACACTACTATTGCGTAAGATATATGTGATTGGATATGGGAATGAAAAACTATTTTTAATGTTGCTAGGTCACTTAAATAAAACATTCTTTTCAAGGCATAGATCCCAGAATTTACCTTAAGCACAATGCTTCCTACATGATTATCCCACCTAAGACATTCATCAATATGGATAACCTAAAAATTTTGTACAAACAATTTGATTTATTGTGTTGTTGTCAATAAAAATATGAGGGCTACACTTGTTTCGGTTCTGCTTGGTGCTGAAAGAAATAAAATTAGTTTTTTGTGAATTTAGCATTAATCGATTGTTTACTAAAAATTCTTGGATTTGTGATAATTCTATATGAGCTGCTACTTCCAAATCAATCTGACAATTAGCAGTATACAATAAGATTAGAATCGTCAGCATACTGCACGAGTTTAGAATTAATGAACAGAGCTTTAAGGGTGGTGGACCGTTGGTGTCAGGAAGTTGGGCTTTCCATTAATCCCATTAAAGTTGTAATCGTACCCTTCACAAGAAGGAGGAAACTGGATGGGATCGGCCCACTAATACTGCAGGGCACTGAAATAGAGCTGCAGAATCAGGTGAAGTATCTAGGTGTAATTTTGGACAGATCACTTTACTGGGGACCTCATCTTCAAAAAGTTATTGAACGTGATAAGTGGTCCCTTATGGCATGCAGGCGGATGGTAGGTGGAACATGGGAGTTACAGCCCAGACTTTTGCACTGGCTGTATGTATCTGTTGTCCGACCCGCCCTTACATATGGTCTGCTTGTGTGGTGGCCAAAGATGGAATCTACTGCAGCTGTCAAAGCTTTAGCAGGAGTTCAGAGGCTTGCTCTTATAATGATAACTGGGGCAGTAAGTAGCGCTGTCCTGGAGCAGCTCTAGAGTGTCTGCTTGATATGCTACCCATCGACATTTTCATCAAGGCGGTACCGGTAGCAAGAAAAACAGCCCAACGCCTCAGATGCAAAAACTTATGGATAACCACAGGAAACAATAAAGGGCACTTCAAAATTGTTTGAGGTGGTACACAATGATGAAATGGACCTTCCTTCAGATCACATGTCCAAAAAATACTCCTTTGGAAAGCCTTTCAAAGTACTAATACCAGATAGGAAGGATTGGTCTGGCGGAAAAGGGCCCATCTTATCTTACCTTACAGGGGCAGGTCGAGACCTTTAAGCACATCATCCAAAATCGAATTATTGCGCACCCCAGTTAATTGTTTTCTTGTTGACCTTACAAGTTAAAACTAGGCCTACAATGAATGCCTGTAGTTTCCCAATAAGTTCATCCTCGGGAAGATATCTTCCTCTAGCCAGATTCCCACGAGTTAAAATGATTCTAGCATCAGAGAGCTCGTTACAATCAAAGAGTAGGTGATCGGCTGTCTCTTCTGACCTATCACAGTGCCTACAGATCGGTTCACCATCATATAAGTCCTAACCTAACACAACCTCACACTTAATTTTCAAAAATTCCATTTCATGACAGAAAAGACATGTGAGGAAGATAGGTCGGACTTTAAATGCGGATTCGTATCTGTATTAAGTCCTTTGAAGATAGGTTAGATTAGGTAAGTTAAAGTTTAGGTTATAATGAAACGACTCATTAATTTACGCTAGGTACCTCCGGACTGTTTTGGCACAATTGAAATAGTGGGTGAAACTCAATGAAATAACAATATCAAAAATTCAATGCAAAAACAGTCTGCAGGTAACGTCAATTAATGAGTTGGTTCATTATAACCTATTGGTACTTTACCTTCCTAATCTAACCTAACTTCAAAACAATTAATACAGTAACAAATCACGGCCGCATTTAACTCCCAGGCCGCGGCCTGGTAGAATTGGCAACATCGCGAGTAGCCTAGTGTTGATTAGTGTTAGACGTCTCGAATAACATAATATGGCAGATAGGTGATATCAGCCCATTAACTTGCATTTTGTTAATTTAAATTTAAATTAATGAACATAGGCCTAAATATATTAATATATTGAAAATTACAGAATTGAAAACCAAAACAATATGAATTGAAAATCTATATCTGTAGGCTACATTAAAAGCAGAGTCAATATTTTCATAGTCCAGTAACCAAGCTTTCGTAAATACACAAATATCATTAGCTTCTTCCAAATAAAACAGCTGTTACAACCCTACTTGCGACGTTGCCACTTCGAAGGCCGCCTGGAGTTAAAGGTGGCCGTGCACGAATTTGCATAAAACCCGACCTACCTTCACCAAATGCCTAAATAAGAGCTGATTATTAAGTTTCAAAACAAATTGATTTCATTCCGCATTAAGTCGAGTACAAACAGCTGTTTGCTCTCCTTACCCAGTCCTCAGCCTACATACGGACCCGTCCAGACCACGCCATATTACCATAGTACCGCTAAATGAACCTTAGATTCGTAATTTTAACCGATTAGATTGTAACGTTTTACAGCCACTTAGGAATCTCTCAGACAAAAACTGATTGCATGTTTGGATTCAGCGTGAAAAAAATTGTATGTAGACATCTAAAAATTACATCATATCCCAATGTAGACATATTAAATAATTGCCAAGAAACCTTGTGGAATCAATGGGTGCAAACTATCACGTACCATCGCCTTCTGCATACTGACAGTGCCTTGAAAAAAGCCCAAGAGATCAGCCAGGACAGAGTAGGCCTACAGAAAACTTTCAGGCAAGAAGGTACCAATCATAAGGCCAATGTTAATTTTTTTTAATTTTCAAATGAGTTGTGTAGCGAAATATGAGTTTTCCAGAGATAGTGATTTTCACCAATCACGTTTTTAGGGTTTTAACTTAACTTAAGTCCCTTATTCCAAAATTTAGTCAAAAATATTTTTACCACACTCAATGTGTTAAGGCATGTTAACTTAGCCTACTAGGCCTAATAATAAGCTTATACTTTTAATACTTTTCAATGAAATGGCACCAAGGTAGGTACACCTACTGTAAGCAAGGCTGAATCAAATTTCTGCACAAAAATTTAAGGTACAAGGCTGAACCTGAGTAATTATGAAAGCTCTTGGCCAAGATTCCTTTTTTAGAGGTTAATGTTATGCCAATATGAGTAGGATGGATTGAACCTCATCCCACCTCATCTCCCACGACATAAAATAGCTTGCTTAGTAGTGAATCACTTCAAAACTATTCAAAAATTTGTATGGTTATTAATATAATGTGTATAATGACTTAAGAGAGTAAGATTATCAACATAACTGGGATTAAGCAATTTAAAAACTAAATGTCAAAAATAACAAGTACACCAAGGCCAGCAACCCACACTGATCCGATCTAGTTTGTTTGTACAGTAAAATATAAATTTCTTTCAAAGCTTTTATTGAAGAATTATTGAGATAAATGCCGCAACTTGTTTTGAAGAAATAGGCTAACAATCTTATGGAGATTAACAACCTTAAAATTTATTAAAATAGTACAATTTACTCACCTTCCAGCACGTCAGCCATTTCTGTTGTTATTGGCAACGACGACGAAGCAGGCTGGCTGGTCACCATTCACATTCACCAATCATCTGTAGTTGATGCGGTAAAATTCCCTTTACAGTGAGGATAAAACTAGATTTCCCTCTTTATCAAGATGTGTATATCTGTAAGTACTAGGTGTACAATGCAGTTGTTGAAACACAAAATGCAGTAGACTTTGATATGCCCGATGTCGTCCAAACAGATTTATGAAATGACAATATAAAATAGGTTACGTACCTTTACGTCGTCAATCCTAGGTTAGTCTTTTTAGCGACTAGTTTCGAAACTGACGTTTCATTTTCAAGCCTTGTCAAACATAAAATTACTTGAACATAATGTCGTCGTCAAAGTACACAAATATAAGTATGTTTGACAAGGCTTGAAAATGAAACGTCAGTTTCGAAACTAGTCGCTAAAAAGACTAACCTAGGATTGACGACGTAAAGGTACGTAACCTATTTTATATTGTCTTAAATCAATCCTGGAGGCAATGCTGAATAAATTTATGAAATGCTACCCATGGTATGCTATTACGATTTTTAAAACGCTTCCTAACACTGTAAGTGTAAGAGACTTTTTTTTGCTCGTATCTACGCCAGTGGCATTTTTGTAATGAGGTAATTTCAAACACTTTTAAGGGAAAGCGGTCCAAACCCATTAAAGTTTTGTTGACTTGAAGAGTAAGCCTTTCAAAAAGACCATCCTTAGCGCATTGGTGAAAAGGCCGTTGTACTCGTTGGCCGAGCTTGAAGAGCCACTCTTTCCATCCTGATGAATATTCAAACTATAGTCAGGTTGGGTAGCAGGAAAATATTTCAGTTCTGGCGGAGAGGCTGCAATTTTAGGTGGTTATATGGTTATAACTTTGTGGCATGGCGGTTTGGATTAATTAGGGCTAATTTACCTTATTACCTTATTACCGTAGTAGTGGGGTCGTATAGCTGCATATAATGGCAGAATATTTCAGTTCTGGCGGAGAGGCTGCAATTTTAGGTGGTTATAGTATACAAGTTTCTGAACCTAAAACCGCCCAGACCCCAAGTTTTAAGGACCTTGGTCGTCCGTAATGACGTCATCAAAATGGTGGCCGTAAGAGGATGCTGGGTCCCCATGAATTGGCTATAACGACCGAATGCCTGAACCGATTTCCATGAAGTTTGGCACACAAGTGCTTGAATACATTATCTCGGCCTGGGTTGAAAATGGCCAAGTTTCATCAAGTCATTTCAAAATGGCGGCTGTTCAAAACTAAAAAGATTAAGAGGAAAATAATTGTGAATTGTTTTATACAGGGTGAGTTTTAAATGAGTTTTCCCCCTACTTTTTTATTCATTTCTTAAGATATAAACTTTGAACCATGTCAGATCATTGTAGAGTAGCAAGTACTTCATTTTGACTGGGTTTAAATTTTTGGCCGCCATCTTGGATTCGCCATTTTATATACAAAGTTATTTTTTCAAATGTAAAGCTAGGGTTGTGACCCACCATTTCAAACAAGACTTTTACGCTGAATACGATGCTGCAATCCGTTTAAAAAATTTTGATCCATTCTAAAGTTATGAGAACTTTTTATAACTTTATTTTTAGTCCATTATTAACATTGTGCATTTACAAACTAAGGCCATAATCTCAAAATAGTGCTAGATAAAATCAAGACAAAATAAGTGGACATCACCATTCATTGTTGACCTATTTTCACTCGGTTTAGACGGATGTATTTTTTTCAGCCGCCATCTTGGATCCACCATTTTGAAATGTGATAAATTATTTTAAATATGAAGGTGGTGTTGTGACCCATCATTTTGAACTACTTTTAGCGAATTTTCCCATATAGGGAATAAGCTATTACCGTAGTACTCATGGTAAGACCTGGACGCGGGACCGATTTTTTTTTCGTTTTGAGGTCCCTAGAGGCCAAAAACACCATCCGTTCAAATTCATATATATATATATATATATATTTATATATATATATATATATATGTGTGTCCGTCAGCACGATAACTCGAGCAAAAATGATCCGATTTTGATGAAATTTGGTAAAAACGTGTAAACATACGTTTATTCGAACGAGTTCGCGATCCAGCATGATCGGACCATGGGAACGGGGGTTTACGGGGGGTTTTATGGGGTAAAAATAGGTTTTTCCCATTTTTGACCCAAAAAACATAAAATTTAGCAATTTCTTTCCAAACCATTTTGTAGAGCTTAAAAAAACAAATAATTTAGTATATTGAAGCGTTATTATGCGCCTAATGGTTACGGAGAAAATACCAAAAAATTGTACATTTAAAATTCCCATGTTATTCTTATGGAGAATAAGTAAACTGTTGTAGTTTGCTTGTTTGTGAACATATTTTGATCAAATTTGGAAAATGTTTTTATTTCTTACTAACTATTCACATTTTACAAAAAAAAACAGTTTTACCCTCCCTGATGCAGCAAACCTAAGTACTTGTTAAACAGGGGTGCCCATCCCCCCCTAGACTCATGACGCACCCCCCCCCCCCCCAATTGAGCAACAGCCCCCCCCCCCATAAATGATGTACACAACAAATGAGAAACATTAACCCAGCACTAGCACTATTTGTAAAACTATAAAAGAAGTTTTATAATTTTTTTTAGATATTTAAAATTCAAACCCAGCTAATCTATCAATAAAAGTATAGTTTTGTCTGTGCATTGCTCAGAATTATACATATTTTGGGTTATTTATGTTTTATACATTGAAGAAGTTGATACATGTCTTATCTGATCTCCATTTATGTCCGTCTGTCACGGCCCAGAAGGCATTTTATGCAGCCTACTCTAAAGAAAACTAGAGTACCGATTATGATTCTAATGGTTTAATTGTATCCACAGGATTGGCGAGAGAGTCCTTATAGCCATTAAAATATGGCCTCACTATTTTGGAAATAAAATAACGGACGATTAAAAATACAATTTTGTGTGATTTTTCTAGTTTATTTTCTCCATGTTTACTACATACGTAATTAATTTATGAAATACTAATAATCTGTTAAGAGAACACGTCATATATGAAATTACGAACAGCCGTTTTGATAAAGATTCCTTTCCTAGCTGTCACTGATATGTTTACATAAATGTTCTTTAAGAATACTGTGTAGGCCCTAACCATTTCCGATAACGTTTGTAAGCAAATCCAAAACCAAGTGAGATTAATAACCGTGTGGCTTTGGCTTACATAACGGGTTTGATTTATCACGAGTACTAATATGTAACTGTAAATTAAATTAAATAACTAGCCATCATCCAGGTCGGGAACCGGAGATTCTGTGTGTATCAAGTTGTACTTGAATTTTGATTACAGGGAAAAGACCGTGAATCAGTGTTGTACAGGACTGGAAAACTTATCTTTCTATATAAATAAAATTAGAGTTTTATAAGTCACCTCAATTTAAGGATTTTCTTATTGCCAGAATATCCATAACGAATTGTCAGCGTCTTTCTCGATATAACGATCCCCTCTCCCTCCCTTTAGAAACATCACAGCTCCTTTGATGAAAATGAAATGGAAACAACGCTTGCGCCAACAATCGTCTGCTCCGTTATACACTTCTGTCTGCTGTGCGCTATGTTACAACAGATTTCAGATACAACAGCTGGGGAATGATGACGATATAAAGCTCAGTACACTGTGATTGAGTGATAACCATGGTAACTTTAGTAAGGCTGTGATTGGCCAATGAGTAGGCCTAAATATGGCGACTTGTTGAATTTGTGTATGAATTGAGAAACCTATTAATGAACAGAAGAACAAAGAAAGAGAATAACAAGATTGTTCTCGTTCCATTCTTTTTTAAGAGTGTTTTAATTATCTCTAAATATAATTTTACATTGTTTTATTACTTATCTATCAATTCCTATGCTAGCACCTATCGGTAGCCTATCTGTCTATCATGAGCAGTACCTTATAACACTTTCTAAAGGTTCCTTTAATATTTACGTTATTTATAGCAATGTAATGTTTGGCTAGTGATTAGTTGAGTTTGAGTTAGCTACAATTTTAAACGTTGCCGTTTGTACAACTGAACCAAGAAAAATGATTTGAAATTTACAATAATAATGATTGTGCAATATTGAATTTCGTTTATAAAAATGTAAATCGTGACTTAATGTCTGTTTACAGCGTTTTAATGAGTTTGTCATCTGTTTTTATATTATATTGGATTAACCGGATTTTTCATCCCCCCCCTCTCCCTATTAACTCAGGTAATCGAGTATACACAATAGTGTAAAGTATTGTAGCCTATGCTACTTGCTACTTGATTGTATTTTAACGAGCTTTATGTCAACAAAGCGTTCTGCTGTGCTTAAGTCGCGGTGTAGCTGGAAGTGTCTGTACCACGCGTTATCTTTTATCTATTATAGCAGTTGAGCAATCCAGTGCGCTCCCTCTCATAGATCTCACGTCTTGCTAATCTTAAATAATAACTTTCTACACGAATCCTAAACTATCCGAAAATCCTATTTGAACCAATTTAATTCAATAATATAACTATTGTCATTAAGTATCCACTTTCTATCTGGCGATTTCGTAATGTATTTTGGATTGTCGTCACGTTGAACACTGTTGCAATTAACTTTAGCCCCCCCCCCCATTTGAATTTTTTGAGCCCCCCCCCATAAATTTCAATGACGCAGTCTGCGTCACGGCCCCCCCTTGTGGGCACCCCTGTGTTAAACTAATTCTATTTAAATCAAGAATAAATGTTATATTTTTAAGTAGACATTTCAGTGTCAATCCAATCAGTCAAATGGAAATTCGCTTAGTCTGCAGGTTTGCTGCGGCGGGGGTATTTTATGTTGAATTCAATGCCGCAATCTGTTTTTTCATTGTCATATTTGGTTTTTGAAATATTGACATTTTAAATCAAAATAATTGTTATATTTTATTAAAGAAACCTTAATAACAAAAAAACGGATAAAATAAAACCCAGTCAAAATGAAGTACTAGCTACTCTACAATTATCTG